ACATATAAAATATATATATATATATATATATATATATATATATATATATATATATATATATATATATATATATATATATATATATATAGACAACACACAGACACGCACACACACACACACACATATATATATATATATTAAGACAGCTTTTCTGGAACACAGCAACACACTCAAGGTGTTGAATTTTATTAACGAACATGCGTAATAAACATCGACAACAATAGTATCAGGGTTTCTCTGTTCTGACCCGGCTGTAGGCGACGCTTCCAAAGCGGCATTTTGAATGTACTCGTGCGCCAATAATAGCACTACAAATACACAAGCAATTGCTCGCAGTTATCCAGTACATATATACTTGGTAGCTCCCACTGCGTATGCACACATTTGTGTGGATGCGAAGGAAAATTTGACCTCAACATCATCATAACAAATCGGTTACAAGCTCCAAAACGACAGCCTTTTCAGAATAGAATTCTAGTTACAAAGCATCATTCAATTCTGTATACAAATCTATGCCGAGCGATGACATTGGCCATGAGAAATTAGCCTATTTTATGCTTTGTCTTGTACTTGTCAATCTAGCATATTGCATACCTCAATAGTAAGTATAGCCCATCGAATACTTCTTGTTGGGCGATGTTTAAGGGACTTTTCCTTAGCTCCGCTGAAATAAGTAAAGCGATTAAACGGTCAGTATTTTGAAACCGATGATAAGTCAAGGTATACAGATGTTCTAGGCGTGTGCATACTGAAGCCTTCTTTGAATCTGCTTTAATTCTCGGATACTTATTTGCAGCTCCCAACAAGTATATTTGTCCCACCCACACACAGCTGGCAGAGAGGCGGGAGTAGTCTCCCGCTAAGTATCATACAATTAGGATAGTAAGCCAGACAAATTTGTCGCTGTATTCGACTGCATGCTCAAATATCGACAACATAGCAATAAATTATTTTATATATGAGCGTATCGCTCTTTCTAACGTATGTGATAGACAAATTACTTCGCACATATACTGATAGGCAGATATTGAAGACTGAATTCTTCCAAAGTCTATAGTGCGTAGCTGTCATACATACATACATATTTATGCACATATAATATATATATATATATATATATATATATATCATCCATATACATATAAATATATATATATATATCATCTATATATATATATATATATATATATGTCATCCTATATAGCCTCGTCGGAACTAATCTCCTTAATACTAAGACGTTTAGTAAATAAAATTTACGACGTAGTATCCAGATTGAATACACACACGCTTCAAATATACGCACAAACGACATGAAGTCGACATCGACCACTTCTCCCAACACAAACTGTCCAACCAACAATCGCGTCGAAACTTCATATGGCTATTTCTCACAGAATATTCAAACTATATGCACACGATGCTACCTACCATTGATAGCTTTCAGGTCTCGGATTTCCACATCCCTGGTAGACCGCACAGAATAGCGTGACTGTGAGCATGGGTTCTCCAAGTTTTGCCAACTGATTGGGAATACAAACTCCCACTCGCTATTATCGCCCATTTTGAGAGACTAACACTATATATTTCTTATACGATAACTATGCAAGGTTTGGACAATACATAAATATGCACACGCATCAGTTCTCGTGTAGCACGCAATAGCTCGCAAAGTAATATGTGACTGTCGTGTGCATATGAGGATATGTGTGCATTTGAGGATACGAGGTCATGAACTTGATAGCAGTGCGATTCCAAAATATTATTATTAAAAATCTACTTTTCCGATTAGAAATGATTTGGGGAGCAATCAATTTGCCGCCAATTCAGAAACGTCCTGTTGACGTACCGAACCGACAGTCCGACACAAGAAATCTGAAAGTGTCGACTGTCGACTTCAAGTGTCAACTGTCGGTGACTTGTCGACTTATCGACTGTCGGCCTCAGGTGTCGACACTCATGTACCGAACAGTCCAAACTGAAAAGTGGCTTGATTTGGGTCAAGTCATAGGGCGGGCTCGTTGTGGGCGATATCCATAAATATCGTTTACTTGGGTGAACTGGTGACTGGTGACTGGTGACTGGTCACTGGTGACTGGTGACTGGTGTGAGTGGTGACTGGTGACTGGTGACTGGTGAGTGACTGGTGACTGGTGACTGATGACTGGTGACTGGTGACTGGTGTGAGTGGTGACTGGTGACTGGTGACTGGTGAGTGACTGGTGACTGGTGACTGGTGAGTGACTGGTGACTGGTGACTGGTGAGTGACTGGTGAGTGACTGGCGAGTATGGTCTGTGAGACTGTGACTGACTGTGACTGTGACTTTGTGAGTGTGTATTTATGTCATTGATAGAGAGAATACCCCCCTCGCCGCTCGGCCTCATCGGCTCAGCCCCTCATCGGCTCAGCCTCAGGCCTCGGCGGGCCAGCCTCAGCGGGCCAGCCTCAGCGGGCCAGCCTCAGCCCCTTCAAGAGTTTAGGGCCCTCACATCGGTCCTGATATAAATATATACATCACACATACATACCAAACAAGAGACCTAGATACATACATAGGTAAAAAATAAATAAATAAATATGTAGTGTTGTCTATCATTGTCGACCGGTAGTTGGCGTTTGTATTTAACTGTGAGTTTGTATCATTGTGGTTACTGGTGAGTGATCTGTGTATACACTGGTAGTTGGCGTTTGTATTTAACTGTGAGTTTGTATCATTGTGGTTACTGGTGAGTGATCTGTGTGTATCTGGTATGCCAGTGTGACAGTGATACGTAGTCACGAGACAACAAGTGTGAGACGCATAAACCGCTGCTAATGCATCAACTACGTAGACGCGAGACAGAGTTGAGTTAAGTCGATTGTATACGTGTACGGCCGTATTATCGCAACAGAGTATAAATACGATTATACTACGTTGCATCCGGTACACGATAATAAAAATATGGTTTCACCAATAAACTGTATAACCAACTACCAAGTGCTGGACATGACTGGATAGCTGTGTCTGGTAATGTGTGACCCTATCGTATTTATTCACTTAGATTTCATTCTTCCGAGTTACGCTATATTCTTTTAAAAGTAAGAATGTACGAATACTATCTTGCATATCCAACGAGTAGAGAAAATGGAGTTTCTTTTGGGTGTGCAAACAGTAAATTTCTTTTATGTTTACCTAACAATGACCTTTTCTCAATCCAAATCTTTACTTCCTCTCCAGAGGCTTGACCGAAGCCTTTTCTGGTGATGCTACGGAGCTCACCTGTTGGTGTCTAACGTATTATCCACGTCTATATGTATGGAACGTGATCTTAAGTTAAGTTATAGCCTAGTTATCAAGTAAGGAAAATACTCGTTTCGCACCTTCCAACTACTGACTGCTATTCCGTCGTTCACCGCAGGGAACAATATCCATATCCCAGCCCCATCAACGGTTTCTTAGTGCGCACTGACCAACTCCATCTCCTCGTCCTCACTGTCAGCTCGCATCTCGCTGAAGTCTAATGACAATTCAGCAGCCATGTCCAACGAATCGATATGTTCCGAAAACCTTCTTCTGAGCTCTGGCGGTCGAGCGGATATGGGCTCGGTGATCTCTGCCACTTCGGCAGGTACTTCGTCAGCCTGGGCAACTTCCTTCAGCTCTTTCTCCATGCTGGTTAGGAATTCGTCCACGCTACCCTCTCCTACTATACGCCCGTACCAGTACTCCACTTGCTGTGCAACAAACTCGTTGTCGCCTATCTCCTCGCCGAAGGCTTGGCAGAGGAACGGTCTAACGTTCTTGTCTTTCCTGGCCTGTTTGGCAATAGGCTTCAAGGTCTCGCCCATCATTGGATCACGGATCTCAATTGCGTGGCCATGACCATCCTCTCCGCTAGAATAGAAAATCCAAGTAGCAATACCAATGGCCATAATGGGGAAGCGGCGGTCGGCGAACACGTGATCCTGAATAATAGGCTTCCAGAAACTGTTGGCCTTCATGCTGCCGTCTTCACAAACACGCGCAACAGCATCACTGACACGTGGATTACCAAAGCGTTCCACGATTAGATCCGCGTACTCCGTCGTATCCACACCCTCTGGCGGGTGCACTGTGGTGAGTGTCTCTCGTGTGGCGGATTGTACCATGTACAACAGGCGTGTATCAGCCATAGCCTTGTCAATTTGCCTGTACCCACACAGGTATGCACAGTACGCGAACATGCTGTGCGTGGCGTTGAGGATACGTACCTTCAAGTGCTCGTACGGAATTACATCATCAGTCAATATAATCTTGTTAACCCCCTTGGTTTTCAGTAGCTCCCACTGGGGTCTGTCGTTGCAGAAGCGTGTTTCTACTACCCACTGTCTGAACGGTTCACAGATCACAGCATCTGATGCCAGTTTGGTGTTTGGTGTTATCCTGTCGACCATCGTATTCGGGAAGTAGACCTTTGTGCGGATCCACTCTTCCAGACGGAGACATCCCTTCAGTCGTGCGAAACCAACAACCGCATTTTGGAACACGAACCCATTCCCGGGTATATTATCAAGTGACATCATCGAGAGTGGTTGGTGACCTCTTTCCATGCGGCGTCTCAGGGCCTCCACCACAAGACCAAGCATCGACTTGGGCTTCTGGCTTCCCTCATTTGTCAGATCGTGTTCCAGTTCTGGATTCATTATGATAGCGCCTGTACCGAGATCGCAACTGTACCCCTTCTCAGTCACAGTCAGCGAACAAACCTTTGTATTCTCATCCGCCAGCATCTCTATGGCTATCTCGGGCGACGTGCCCATGTTGACCAACTCTTTGAATGCACCGATGGTTTTGGTGCCCTGATACTCCTGGCTGAGCGCCGTGACATCGTACGTGTAATTACTCTCGTCGAAGTATTCTATCAGATCGCGAGTTCGTGGCGAGTCTCTGTCTACCGCACGGATATCCCACTGTTGCAGACCTAACTCTTTGGCTTTCTCATTGTAGTCCTGCATGTAGCGTCCGAAGTGCGCACGCACGAAGTTACCCAATCCAATGTGGACAATTGCAGGATTTCGCCTCGAATCGGCCGCTCTATTTCGCGTCTCAGTTGTTTCTGCACTATCAGTTCGAACCTCATCAGCCGACTCAGAGGCCTCATCTGTGCCGATACCTACAGCACCAGCCAGCAGTGTGATGGCACCTTCGCTTTGTACAGTAATACCGTTCACATGGTGATTTCCCTGCGCACTCTCCTGATGCTTCACCTGTGTAGTGACAATACCAGCAGCGTTTTTGCTGTCTGATAAGGCGACTTCATCCAGGCCTACAATATTTTGGTTGGCATCGCTGTGACTCACAAACCTGGGCAAAGGGGGTTGTGATTCATGGTGCTGGTCGTCCTGTTGATCAGTCATGGAGTGTTGATCTACGCTCCTGTTCATCTTGACCGGTGTGACATTGCTGAGTTTCCGCTGGTGTGTTAATACGCTTGGAGAAGATGGCGCCGCCTTATCTTTGGTAATTTCAGCGGCCACAACAGCTGGCGCGGGTGGTCTGGGAGGACCCGGTCTTCCTGATTTTTTTGAATCAGATTTCTTTGTCTCTGAGTAGCGCCGAGGTGTCGGTGGAGGTCCCTCTCGGGACTTGCCTAAACTATTATTGCTAAGTGGCATTGGATCACTTGGTGTCATGTTTGTGTATGGCACAGGTGCGGGTGGCAAGGACGCAGCTGGCACTGGTGGTGTGGCCATCATCATTAGTATGTAAAAGTGTACCCGAGGCAACTCTATCTTACAAGTACGGTGATTATTATAAACCCTTGTTTCACTTCGTGTTATATGAAAACAATTCTAAAGTGTCCACTTCTTTAAAACGAACACTTCTGCGTTGTAATTTTCACCGAGCACACCTTTTATCCCGATCCGGTTTGTGTATTGTAAACTTGTATATTATTTGTTCTCGCAGTTCACACAGATTGTTGTTTTATAAATTTACACATATTTATATCTTTTTCCAAGAAAGTTTGTTGACACCCTCAACAACCATTGGAGGGACGATGACTCTGCATTTTCTCATGACAGCCAAAACTCAAAAGTAATTGGAAAATATAAAACTATTGAAACAATCAAAATTCTCATTGCGAGCCCGAATTTCTAAAATTCGCATTAAAATTTCAGGGCACAGATGCTTTCAAGGACTCCATATGTACGTCATATGTTCAGTTTAATTTTTTTTAGACAAACCAAATTTTCAAATTCGGATTTAAAATTGTCAAAGTTTTCAGACGAACTGAGGAAAAATTGAATTTGAAGTCATGGGTGACCAATCTATATATAGGTTCGGACCTGTCATTCGCACGTCATCAGACGACTTTAAATTTGTCATATTCACATATATTTAGATGATCACTTGATCAGTCATTAACACATTAGGTAAATAATATAATAATGAATATTTACATGACGGGTATTAAAAAAATATCCTGATAACTTTTATGGAAAGCAAGCGTGTTGGTCAGCGACTCAGCGGACCTTTAGTCCTTTGCCGATGCAGTGAATTGCATGCGCTGAATGAATCGAACAGATCAGAATCGACAAACATATGTGAAAAACTGTGATTTGGTAAATATGACCATATCCTTGTGAAGATCGACACGACTCCACTTCTTAGAATCGAAGGAGAATTGCATTATTCTTTGTAATAGATGAGATAATTTTTCAGTGCATTCTCACCAGTACCATTATCTCTGCTTCTAAAAACGAGCGTGCAAAGGATACTAAAGCTGCAGTAAAATAAATCAGGACTATTTATACAGTACAGTACGTGTCTCTACTGACTCATTAAAATTCTGGCTGGATGTCACACACATATTGCTTCACATCGCTGACATGCAGACGGTGTGGTGTCTCAGTCTACGTTTTGTTACAACAATATTCCACTTTTTTAGTTATGCTACGCACTATTGAAATTTTACAAATTCTAGGCGGTGTGATTATAGAGCGCACAAGTGTAATGTGATACTGCGATACAGAAGGGTATTTTTTTCTCTACCTTTTCAGTGGCGGTCATCTTTGTTTATAATATAGTATATTTGTATGTATTAAATATGGCCAAAAAAAAACACCCCCTTCCTGCATATTTGGCCTTCTGAAACGTTCTACTTCAGAAGGCTGTCTTTGCTTCTTGTTTCACTTTCATCACCTATCATTATAAATAAAATACTGACAGCTGACTTCTAGAAGTTCTCATTTCTAATTCTGATCCTTTGATCCAAATCCGTCATAAATAGAGAGTTATTTTTTTGTTTCTGGTACATACAACTGTATAATTTAGAGGGCTATGGTTTGACTTGTTTTATTTTAGGAGGCTATTTATGGTGGTTTGACATAGCCTTCTAAAAATTAGTCAGGTTTGACACTAAATACAAAAACAGGGAAAACTGAAAACTCTCACAAAATACTGTAAATATGTATGTTCCAAGGATAAATTATTTATTGTATATAAGAAACAACAATTGTGGAGTATTTCGATTTTAGGGAGAGAGAAAAAGCTTTTTCCGATCAGGCATATTTTCTGAGGGTCATGAGAAAGCTGATCACTTTTTTCAGGAAGACCCGCAAGAGAATTTGGGATGTATTTTTTTTTTGTGTTTTGGGTTTTGTTTAAACAAAAAACAAAATATGTAGTTAGTACATGTTTTTATAAAATAAATTTAGTTCAAACAATCTGACTTCTCTTTCTTCATTTTTGTCACTGCCTTCAGTCCCTTCACATTTATAGGACTGTATTTAAAAATAATTATTTAGGAATGTATGTAATAATCATGGCCCTCTGGATTAGGGCCAATGCTAAATTTACGATTTGTCGTCGGAAGAAACCTGATTTCTGCTCGCGACCCTAATCCAGAGGGCCGTGTAATAATGCCAAATTGCTAATGTATTCATTTTTCTGTCTATTTTTCCTATAAAATAGTACTTTATTTTTTTTGGCGGTTTTTCATTACCAAATTCACGGGCCCATTCACCACTGAGTCACTGACCAGTGGCAGTCACAAATTGACGGCTGGCGGCTTACCCTAATAGAGTGTGTAAATACACTATGTAAGTATGTCACAGCAACTCTGCATGATTTATCGCCTCCAATGAAATATAAAAATACGCACGCGTCGCGAGGGAATCACAACTCACAACTCACCAGTCACCACTCTGATCTACTCGGGTCGCGAATAAATAGTGTTCGGGATATTTTTTTAAAATACAGCCCCACCTAAAGTGTGCGTAGCGCGACTGTAGACCAAATAGTGTACAAGCAGTATAGTAAATGAACCCGCAGATTTTCTAAGTGACTGCACCCAGTAGCAATTAAATACTTCGTAGCACTTTTGCATTATAGCTTGACCGGCCACCTGTTGGCGCGCCCATGGACGTGACCGATAGCCTTCGGGCCAGTAAGCAGGTAAACTTTGTTATCGCCGTATCTGCTCTGACTCAGGCACATATATAGTCCTTGTATTTGTGTCGTACCTGGATATATAACATCGAAGAAAAAAAATTTACAATGGTAACAGCCCCATCTAAGATTTCCGTCTGAGAGCATTATAAACACTACATACATACAGATATAT